CCTAAAAAGTGGCTTCTTCATTTTGCTGTTAGAAAGCAAGCAAGCAAGTACAAAAAAGTCCATTTGAGTTAACAAATAGGTGGTAGGTGGTAGGCTTTATACGTGTATATATTTATATATGTGTATATATGTATATATGTGTGTATATATGTATATATATATCGTTGCCAGATCTGCATTTTCTCAGCAACTTTTTATCTTGTAAATTTGCTTGAAACATTGACACCAACAGATGGCATTCTCGTAAGACTTATCTCAGTGTGGCTTCTCGTCAGGTTACTTCCTGTGTCTCATGACTCTGTCCTTACAACAAAACGGTTTATTTCATCACGTTGCCGTGTCTGTCAACTCTAGTAGGATAGTGAAAAATGCAAGGGAAAAAAAAACCCATTGCACTCCTTTCTCTCCCCTTACCTCGGTAACATAGGTAATACCAACAAACGTAATTGTTTTGAGGACCGCTGTGAACAAATTATGCTAATCCCAGAAATGAAGTAGGCAAAAAAATAGAGTCAATACTAGAAGACTGGCTCTATCCTAAAGAGGGTGATCATTTCAAAGGCTTTTGTTGATGCTATGAATGTGAACCACGAGCAAAGCAGGATGATTTATGCAGACCTTGTTTCTTCTATTTCTCACGTGATCTGGCAACACTGATTGTGTACAGTTTGTAATCCCTCTGTCTGAAGATCATCTTAGGTGATCGGACTGTCTGCAGACTCTCAACTAGGTAATGAAGGCTTTACTTTAATTCAATACCCAAGTACAATACATCCTTAATTCTCGTCACTTAGCTGAGAAAAAACAACACCCCTTCTGTTTGTCCCCTGAACAAAGGCACCTGCTGTCCTCTTTTGCCCTCTGCCATAATTACTGCAGCCCCTAGAGGTTTCTCCAGAACATATGTTGCTTTGGGACAAGCCGTATAACAAGTAGTTTCCTAGAAACATCCACAGTCCTCCGTGGTTATTGGCTACAACAATCTTTACTTACTTTAGCGAAAGCTACGACTTTTTCCTGTGCTCAAATGATGTATTTCAACCCTCAACCACCTCGCTGCAGAATGCTTCTGTCAGCGTGATGGACACTAACAAGCAGCGCAAACAGAGAAACAACAGAAAGCAGAGAGAATGAGAGTGAGGAATTCTTCCTCAGCTCTGTCGCTGCTGCTAATGTTTCTCTGTAATGAGGTCACGTCTGTTCATCACTGTTTGAACACAAAATCATTGTCTCAGCATCGTTTCATCATTCTGATTTGCGCCTTCATTGGGGTTTTTTTTTTCAAGAGCAAACGAACGACTGCAACCAGGCATGAGACAAAGAAGGTGATAGGAGAGCAGATATAAAAAGGGTATCAACATCAACTATTTCTCCTGGGATTGGTCGCTATGACTACACAAGCATTTTCAGCTGATGCTGGGACAAACATAGGGAAAGGTGAGAGAGAGAGACAGAGAGAGAGAGAGAGAGAGAGGACAAAGGAGGACTTTAAGAAAAAGAAGGGAAGCGATACCCAAGATAAATCCAACGTTTTTAAAAAAGTGTTTGTTGCACAGCATATGCATAATGAGTCGAAAGAAGACCTTATCATAGAGATATCAATTTAGCCTGAGTATTACATAGTATATTTATTCCTTTGTATTGACAAGGTGTACCTCAGGGCTCTGTTGTTGCATATCTGCCCTTTTCTGTTAATGTAACCGCTAATACGTGTAGGATGCAATTAACAATTTTCATGCCCATAATAGTATATATTACTCTATACAGTAATTGAAGAAAGCATATAAGAGGACCTGGCAAGAATAAGGTCAAGTCAACCAGACTAGGTCAAATACACAGATGTGGTACAAGAACGTTTATGGAACCACTACACAGTGGTAATAGGTGCCCAGTCAAAGTAACAGGTGAGTGAGTTCAGTGTAGTTATATAACATTGTGACCCCATTTGTTTGCAATAGTAATGGACATAATGATAGATGTGAGGCAGGGGGTTCCAATGTTTGCTGATGACATTGTTCTATGGTGAGAGTAAAGAGGTTCGTGGGGTAGGCTGTATGGAGACCAGTGACAGGAGCGTGTGGCGCTAGGATAGGGGCTATGCCAAGTTGACTTCTTTTCTTTTTTTCCCCTGTCATTGTGATTCTCCCCACGACAGAATTAAATGACAGTTTAATTATACATCACATTACCAGAATATTCAGCGTGCGGTGCCACCAACACAGCTGCCACACACACAGCTAATAAACACATGGCATTTGATCTCGAACCGAGATGACACTTGACGTGACAGGGAAAAGCGGTGACCCAATGTGCCCCTCCCCTCCCACTGACTCCGATGGAAAAAAAAACCAAAGAGAACAAACAGCGCTGAGAGACTCCGACATCTCGTCTTCCAGGCAAACAATCAGAGTCCATCTATATTTCAGAAGGTATGGAAACCTGTGACAATGGGCCGTCATGAACCAAGATTAGTTGAGAGCACCTTTAATGAGGACAAGGGCACCGGGGGATCGGCTTTCCCCACCTGCAGACTAACTACAGTATCAGCTGAAGATAGTCTGTCCGTTTTTTTTTTAACAAGATGTTGCAAACAAAGACCTGCATCAGATGACTTATTTACATCTAAATGGCAGCTTTTTACGCCGAATTGTGTTTTTTGATAATCAGAAGTCTGTTTAGGATTTACTGTACTTTGAACGTGGACACAGCAAGTAGGAAGAAACTGTGCTCCACAGGAAGCTTCCGTCTCAGATTCCTTTATACCTTAGTTTTGTCGATTTTTGCATAATGTACGGCCAACGTTACTGCCTGTGAATTATTGATGGAGACTAAAGGAAGAGCTACATGAACCTAGGAAGTACAGGGAGTGTGGGGGGTGTGGGGGGGGGGGGGTGAGAGGGA